AGTTTAATGACTCAAGAAACAGCATTGTTCAGATTGCGTCTGCCCGAAAGTTGCTTTGATTGAGATGACACCACCATCCGTCATAACAATTCAGTCTAGGGTCAGTATGGTTACGACTGGGGTTGGGCAGTCTTATACGTCTGGTTGGGTTGATGAGCTCAATAGGCCTGCCGAATGCTTGTGGCCACACTGGCACAAGTGCCCTCGGGTGACAGGAGAGAAGTGAAATTCACCCAAGCTCAGGCGTTTCCCATACCACTTTGTGTGGTGGGATTGTTGACGAAGCGAACTACACTACTTAATTGCGCGTATGAGTAAGCAGGACTTGGTTTGCCCCGCAGTCGTGAATGGAGTGTGCACGGACCGACTCTTTCGCATAGCTACCCAACACAACCTGCCATCACGGTCGCACAGCTCCCGTCAGGCCCAACCCGCTTCTATGGAACCCAAAGCACACAGGCACACACACACACACATGCAGAAAAGTGGGTCTCTAAAAATGCATCAGTGATTTGTTGTCACATGACTTTCCGGTTCGAAAGGAAAGTTGGCTGGAAGGAATTCGTGAAATCGTCTCACCGGAAGCGGAAGCACGATTGGCGAGTAGTGAAGACTGTTGCATTGTGCAAACAAGCTCGTTACTCAGCCTTCGTCTCTACCTCCGTGAGACGCATTATCAGAGCGAGGATCCATAATTTATGAACCAGACCAATAATATACTAAACCAAGAGATTACGGGGCTAGCTGCTTAATTGCTTTTTTATAGGACCTTAATGAGGCATCTCATAATTCGGTTGGCTGCCTCAAGCTTACACTTCACGCTTGCAGATGAATGAAGTCATTTCACGAACCGGAAGTTTGAGGAAGCCAATAAAATTATGGGATGCCTCTTTAATACGAATAAAAACTGGATTTTGAAGAATTTCGTATTATTGTTATTATTTCGTATTATTATTATTATTATTATTATTATTATTATTATTATTATTATTATTTCGATATATTGTGACATGACTCTCTATTTCAAAGGGAAAGTTGGTAGGAAGGGTCTCACCGGAAACCGAGGAGGATTTAGCATATTTTTGCTCTATTTCGTAAAGTATGAATTCTTGCATTAAATCTGCTGCTGCTGCTGATGATGATGATGATGATGAGGAGGAGGAGGAGGAGGAGGATGTACGGGTTGATCGGGGTTGCAGGACGGTGAGCCGAGGGCTTCTTCGCACAATCCACTTGTCCTCATCCGGCGGAAATCGACCTTCGGTTTCCGGTGCGACCGCGTCACAAATTCCTTCCAAGCAACTTTGCCTTCGAAACGGAAAGTCATGTCACAATGCACACACACACACAGACACACAGACACACAGACACACAGATGATGTTATACAGCCTCTGGTCTACGTCTTCGCGTCTGTCATCGCGACAGTCCGAGTTGGACAGGGTCGGATCAACAAGACCGTCGCGTCGTCTGGCACGTGAGCCCGCAATGAGCAACCCTTCGGAGGCAGCATTCGCGACTTGCCCCTGGAAGGGTGTGGTGGGTGGGGCCTCTTTTTTCCCGAAACCAGCATGGGAGGAGGTAAATGAGGTTGACCCGATCGAGCCGTCGGAACGAAGACCGGCCCGGCGACCAGAAGACGCCAATTGTCAGGCCGAGCAAGTTCAGGCAAGCGGACAATCGG